TTTTTTTTTTTGTGTGTTCGTTTTTTGTGTATTTTTTTGTTTGTTTTTATATGTCAATTTGTAGAAAAGTACTATCCGAATTAATATACGGGACAATTGAAAATCGCTGTCGGTGACAGCTAGCCACTTGCTTGGACCAATAACCACAATTTTTCAAATCAGTCAACCTAGCATTGACCCAATTGTCTCGGACATCAACCCGACCGAGTTAACACGGTTTGACCTGGTCCTGTTTTGTTAATATTTTTTAAATAACAACTATTTATAAATATTCATATGATAAATATTTATTATAAGATACATCATTATTAACACATATGATGTACATAATTTATATAAAAAAAATGTATATTTATATGATAGAAATATGAAATGCATAATTTTAAAATATAAAAATAATTATCCAGTTCAATAGTTGACTCGGTGGTCCGACAGCTGAAGTGGCGATCTGGAGACTTGCCCTGGTCTATATTTGGGTTGGGTTTAAAAATTATGCCAACATCTATTGGCCTGGGAAGCGAACTACTACCGCACAATAAGGCCCGACATCACCTGACACACAAATAATAAATGAATATTGCTTTCTGGTTGTTGATAAGACTTGAAAGTCGGTTATGCAGCAAGTAAATTATCCGTCTAATGATACGAAGCCTTTTTGGTGGTACAACTGTTAATTTTGGTTGAAATTTTTGGCAGATATTACCTGTTGCGCCTAAAGGAGCAAGACAAGACATTGTAAATGCTACGGTAAACAATTTTTCTCTTTCAGTCATTTATTAAAGTTTTAAAACGGACTAAAAACATGCGTCTCCAAAATGTTATTAATTCAAATGAATATAACGATATGCATACTTTTTCTAAATGGATTAGAAGCATAGGGACCATTGGAGAATCAATTAATGCTCGTAGTAATATAGAAGTTCCTTTTGATATTTGCTTAAATACGATGGCCATTCGATTGAGACGATTATGCATAATACTTATTTGATATTGAAATATGCAGTTGATGGTTCAAGCTATTTGAGGGATCGAGTAATACTATCCCTAACATTTGAAGTTGTTGAATTTATAAACGAGGACATGAATTTTTTAAATACGACGGACGAATAGACATTATTGAGTTCTGACACCCCATCAAAATTAGCTAGAGTGTGGTGTTACTTTTTTACTTAATTTGCAAACTCTTGAATTCTTAAATTAAATGTTTGGTGTTTCAAATCATGAACTACATTTGAAAGTCTACACTCCAATAATAATGTTGATCACCAATTGTCTGTGCAACGATACGCATTTAGTTATAACGGGGAATAGTATTCATTTGTTGCAGTGGAGTTTTAATGGGTTCAAACAATGGAGAATTAGTTCTTTTACTGAGAATGAGTTTGACTCCATGATGTAATAATTCATTTTAAGTTTAAAAAACGACAATTTATCCTTATTGTTTTTTATGCGATGACCACAAACAAGAGAGTCGTGGACAAACTCTTTCTCATGTTTGTTTATATCTGAAGAACTTTGTATTTACGAATGACCAACTTTATCGCATTTTCACAAGTCACAAATAGTAAATTATTGAAAATAATAATTTGTAGTGGTGAAAACAATACGCAAACAAAGAACATTGTATTTAAGAAAGTGTTTAGAAATATATAATCATCAATTTGTATGAATTGCAATTTTCTTTTAATGAACTTTTTGTTTGTTGCTCCGCTGCATTTGCACGAAATCCTACTAGTAGTAGGTATAGAAAGAAGTTCATATATACAAGTAATACTCCAATTAAAAGTTTTAATAGGTATAAAAAGAAGTTAAGATATACATGAATTTTTCCAAACTAACAAAAATTAGAACAATGAGAAATTGGAACCACAAAAATTGATACATAAAATTACGAAAATCACGACATAACCTCATAAATTAGACTATCTCTAATCCCGTACTCTACTCCAGTGTAGAGTTTATTCTACTACAGAGTAAATGATGCTAAAATTTAACTGTCGTCTCCAGGCGTTTGCGTTACGTTTATCTATTAATCTTCGTCTCCGATCTTTTAAATTATTTAGTAAAATATATAATTTTATTAATGTAAAATTTATCAAATAATACATAGGATAAAAATCAATTAAAAAGAAAAAGAAAAATTAGAAAAAAATTATAGCACAAAAAATTATCACAATAATCATTAATTTAATAAATTATTCGCAAACGTTAGCAGTATATGGACAAAAAAGAAAACTTTTGAAATTCTCCAGCCGACAGCCAAAAATATGACAGAAATTATGGCATTTTATTTTACGTTACTACCAATGATAATTGAGAGGCGAGAAATGAAAAACGTAATAAGTAAATAAAAAGATTTCGCAAAAGTAGACTTACTTTCAGCGTCCTTTCTCAGATTCTCTGTGTTTTTTTCCCTTTATCTCTCTACATTCTCTCTTGTTATTCTCTCTCATCCGTTTCGATAAGAATCTGAAACCCTTTAACCAAGCATGGCCTTTATCCATCTTTCAGGTTTTTCGTCAAACAGGTAATAGGTATTGCTTCGTTTCAATTTTGAACGTTTTTCGACGAAAAACGCAGTTGTAGGTGTTTGTGTGTGATGATTGATAGGGTTAACTTCATGTGTAGGCTTTCGTTTTTCGGTAGATTGTTCGATTTGAGCTGAATTTCTTCGTCGACTACAAACAGTGATACCTCTTCCGATTTTGACTTTATGCTGCGATTCTGTATTTGTGGTTTTCTTTTTAATTTTTGTCGTTCTTGTTCTTCGTTTGTGATTTTTGAATTGTTAAGATGATATAATAGGACTTTGTGTTGGTGCTTTTTGTTGGGAAATTATGTCTATGGCTCTGAAATTGTTGGGTAAAGGTTTGTGGTTGCTCTTTGTTCTTTCTGTTGTTCCTCCTGTTATATATATAGTTATATACTCGTGGGCTGGTATTGTTTCTGCTATGGGAGGAAAATGTATGATGGATTGAATGTGTTTTTTATTTTCCTAGCTTTAATGAGGAACTTTTTTATGCTGTTTACTTTGCTGAGCTAAATTATCCTTCAGTGTTGTTCTTGTTTTGCAGAAGCTGCATGTCATTTTGTAAAACTTGAATGTCAAATTTAACTATCGATTTAGTCATACTATATTTTTGCATAAAAATGTTATTCTATTTGTTATATGAATTGCTTGTTCTTGAATTTCCTGTTGTTGCTCTCTTAATTATACCTCTCACTTCTTGAAAAACATTTCTCCTCTAAATAAAGTTAAAAGGTACCTTTCTTGATAGCCAATGTAAGAATTATTACATGTTGGTGATGCTTGAATTTCTCCTTTCTCGTTCACATATGTATAAGACCATTTTGTTTATTTCTTTACTTTTTTTGAATTATTTTTGTTTAATCATATGGAGTTCTGTGCATGGCAATATTAAGAAATAGTACTACAGTGGTGTATTACACTATTAAGCTGGAAATGTGACTTGAAGGTCCGGTTCAAAGAGATAGTTACATAATATTTGAAGTGCAATACCATGCCTCTCATCTTAGAAAATTCTTTCTTCAACATGCTTCACTTGGCTGCTCATAGTTGCTGAGCTCCAAAGATATTAATGTGTGGTGATTTGCATGGTTGGTTTATGTCAAACCTATTTTGTAAATGATTTCTGAATTCATACCCGACATGTGTTTGCCACTTGAGTCCATAATCTGGAACTAAAATTTCCCTTGATGGTTCTAATGATTTTTTTTCCCTTCATCTCTCTTTGTTAAATTGAATATGTTTCATGCATGATTATGTTCGAACATTTTATTAGAAGTGTTTCACTCCATTTGGGTCGGACAAAGTTAACGTATCTACGAGTAAAATTTTGCAAAACTGCCTGCCTGATTTCTGTTTATCACGGTTGCTTAAAAATGTCTGCAAATGCACAGTGTCAAGTCTCCCTTTATGAATTCCAACCTTTCAGCTTCTGATTGTATGGATTTAAGTCTTTTTATGTAAACACTGTCATCAATCCCATGTTGATGAGTACCTAGTATTCATTCACGACATGGTGTAGAATCACCTCAAAGACTTGAAACTGGCTTCTCCATGTGACGGAGAAACAATTTAGCTACAGTTTACTTACGGTGAAATTATTTTCTTCAATCTTTGACACTGATGATTATATTGCCTGAAAAAGATGTTGCCGCAGCAAATGTAATCAATTACATGTTATGTTAATTGTGCAACGTTCAGCTTCGCAATATAACGACACAAAGTTTTTACTTAATAGAATTTGAAGTTCTGTTGGTTTATATACAACTGAAATCAAGATAAGCTTCCACAGCTCCCTTCTGATAGTCCAGAATGAAAGCAATAATTTAAATAGAAAATCTATATTGAATTGTTTGCTCTCGACTGAGGGCGGGGTTACTGCATGAATTTGTTCAGTGATAGCTTTTCTTCTATAAAAACCTGTCAGTCCCATTTTGTTCATGTATTGAAGAAGAATTTGTTGGGTTTGGATTAGAAGCATTGCATCATACCATTTGTTTGTGCTGAAGAGGTCATGTAGGATTAAGAATCTCTATGATTACAATATCCAGCCCTTAGGACTGCTATATTAAGTGGTAGTAGTGGCAAAAAATTTATGTTGGATTGTCAAGCTTTGTGATCAAAATATTTAGCACTTTATGATTGTCAAGCTCTGTGATTAAAATATTTAACACTTTAGGATAGAATAGTTTGCCAAAGTATTGTTTGTTGGTTTAGATACCGTGATGCTTTATTTGACGATAATATCATTAGTAAGTTTTATGTTGGTTCTTTAGATTCCTTCTCTGTCTCTTTTGAAGCCTTTTTAATCCCTTAATCCATTTATTATGACTTTAATGCATCTTTTTTATTTTTTTTGGACAATGTAGATATTAGTGAACTGAATCTGCCGAAGACATGTAGCATGTCATTCCCTAATGGCAAAGATGATCTCATGAATATTGTAGTCACTATCCGCTCTGATGAGGGATATTATCTGTATGTACTTGGACACTGAGGATAGACTGTTTCTTTCCTCTATTCTAGTATTTTTTTTCTTACGCCATTTTCACTGACATACAATTACTTTTGTTTCCAGGGGTGGAACATTTGTTTTCTCGTTCCAAATCTCTCCCCTCTATCCTCACGCCGCGCCGAAGGTTAAATGCAAGACGAAGGTAATAATAATAACAATAACAACAATAATAAACTCTTTATATATCCATGCAATGTAATGAGTTTCACACGAATCCTGTTATTGCCCGTCTCATGAGGCCTCATGCTAACAATTTCGGTATATTACAAACACGTTTACCATCTCAATATCGATCTAGAAGGAAATGTCTGCTTAAATATCCTCCGAGAAGACTGGAAACCCGTGCTGAACATAAACACCATCATCTATGGACTCTATCACCTTTTCACGGTACTCATTTACTGCCTTTTTGCCCAAAAAATTCACCTTTTTATTTTAATGCTTTCCTTGACAAAGATTTTCTTGTACAGGAACCGAACCACGAGGATCCTCTCAATCATGATGCTGCTGCTGCAGTATTGAGAGATAACCCGAAAACGTTTGAGTCTAACGTTAGGCGGGCCATGACTGGTGGCTATGTGGGACAGGCTTACTTCCAACGGTGCATATAGTTATTTGTGAGGATTTGCTTTGCATCAGTTGCCAAATTCAGACGAGTTTGGGGACTGTGTAAAAGGTGAGAAGGCTGTGTACATTGGGGTGCTCGTCTATCTCCCTAGGTCTTTCTGCTATGAAAATCCAAGGTCCTTTCGAACTTACAGTAATTTTGTGTATCTAAAGTAGTAGCAGAAAGCTGTCTCTCTGTATGCTGCTGTAACTTTTGTGCTTTTATATTGGCACTGTCATTTAACTCTTTTTT